CAAGAGAGGGGCGTGGCCCAGGCAGTTGCAGTCACCCGTGGTCCCCTAAGCGCCTGGACGGCCATGTGATGCGGGGGAGAGCTAGGGCAGCCCAGAACCTGGGCTGGGCCTTAGTGGAGGTAACAGTGGATCCTCCAACCACAACACAGAGGGCAAGGATGGGCAGGCGCTGGGCAGGTGCTGGGTGATCCAAAGCCACCTAGGAACTGACCGGGCAGAACAGGGTCAGACAATCGGGGGACACTAGGGAAAGTCCAGGTGAGGGCAAGTCCACTCTCTGGGGTCTGTCCACCTGCCCCTATGAAGAGCACCATGGAAAAGATTAGATGGACCTGTGAGTGTGGCATTGGGCCCCTTTTGTCCACGCTGCTATTTAGTCTCCTGGAGGTCTGGGCCGTTTGCCTGTGGACTGGTCTAAACCCCAAGCATCCTGCCCTGCCGGGCCCCTTCCGAGTGTACTCTCTCCTGGGATCTTCCTGTCTCGGCCTCAGAACACCTGCTGATCCAGGCACCCTCTCCTGTGGAAAGCACCCCTTTGGGGAGCCTCTGTTAAAGGCAGCCTTGCCGTCAGAGCAGGCAGAGCGCCACCTGTGGTAGCACTTACACGTCTTTGTACTTCAATTCACTCAGCCACGAAGCCTTTTGGGGAACATTTATTGAGTGCCCAAGGTAAACAATACCGAACATAAACAGGAGTCCTGCCTTCAGGAAGCATCCAGTCTAGTGGAGAGGCTGAAACAACACAGTGACCACATGAGGGAATAAGAAACCAGTGTGGTGCTTGGCCCCTGCTGGCCTTGGATAGGGATGTCAGGCATGCAGGAGGGACACTGTGGCTTGCAAGGCCCTGGGAGGAGGAAGTGTGGTAGACAGCAGGACCCGGGCACCAGTGTGACCAAAACAGAGTACTAGGGACACAGTTCAAGATAGAGCTGGACAGACCAAGAGGCGGGGCCCCAGGGCTTCAGAGGCCTTTGGAGCTTCTGGCTCTGGCCTGGAGGCACCCAGGAGACTGGAAGCCTTTCGCAAGCCAAACCAGGGTGTCTGAGCCTTGTGTGGAGTGGCATGAATGCAGGAGACCAGGGAGGGGCCAGTGCCACAGCTAATGGGGTCAGCTGCTCCCTGGCTAAACAGTGAGTGCCCGAGGCCAGGACCTGCACTGCACACACACACCCACACACACCCACACACACACACACACACACACACACACACGAGTGCCCTGCAGGGTGTGTACAGAAAAGATACCCATTACATATTTTAAAAATCAATCTCATATCAGAGTCATCAAGCAGCACTCACCCACCAGTCTATCTACACGGGGCCCTGGGGGCCTTGAGGAGCAGTGGGTCTGAGTCCCAGAAAGGGAACTCAGGCATCCTGCCAAGCACTGCCTCCCCTGGTGGAGCCTGGAGTGAGGCTCCTAGCTCTCCCTCAGTGCCTGCAGTAAATGTGTTCATGTCGCAGCCTGCCATCCTCTCCCCATGCCTGGCAGTGTACACAAAGCTCTGTCCCCGGCTTGGGCAGCAAGGGCCAGGCGTGCTGGCCTCTGCCATGCCATCTCGGCTCTTCAGCGGTCCTGGTGCCGAAGAGGAGGCGATGGGGGATGCCGTACTGGAGGCAAATCATAGTGTCCGGGGATGTGGCTGTTCTTGGGTGAGTCGTAGTGGCCAGGAGGCAGGCCTGGAGGAAGAGGGGGCTGGGAGGACACGGAGTCTCGATCTGCAGACAGAAGGGACCGGATGAGAGTGGAGGCTCCTCTGCCTCCCACCCATCACCTCCTCCAGCAGCCCCGTCTGCCCAGCCGGAAGCGGGCATGCATGGATAGGGCATAGTCATCCCTGAGCCAGAGCCTCTCCAGCTCTCAGCAGCCTGTAAGAAGCCACCTCTGCCTGTCCCCTGGCAGGATAAGAGGACACTCTGTCCCCTGATTTGCTCCCCACCCATCAGGTGCTACCCCACACCACTTTGATTCATCAGCCTTTGAGAGCAGAGCACCCTACAGATAGCAAAATAGGCTCCGAGGGGCAGCATGGCACCCCAGCCTCCCCTGGTTAGAGTCCACCGCCACACTATGCCACCTCCTGTTCTCTCCTCCGCCTTCTGTTCCTCTCGCTGTGGTCCCTACACCCAGGGGGTGCTCACCATGGGCCAGGGGGCTGGGCTGCTCGTAGGTGCCACTGTCCCGCTGGGGCTGGGGCTGCCATGGCCGCTGTTTTGGGGGAGATCCTGAGGGGGGGCCTTTCATCTCCACGTAGCTGCTCTCCCGGGGGCACCCGGGCAGGATGGGCAGGTCTCGGATAGTGGCGTATGGGTTCTCACTGCTCAGGGAAGCCAAGCTGGCCCCCAGCCCCTCTTCAGAGACATCCCCTATGGTTGGAGGAAAGAATTCAGCTTCCATGGAGACACTGGCTGCTGTACCAGGCTCTCCCTTCCCTTGCTGCCCTGTGTCTTTACCTTTATTGGAGATCGGGCCCGGGCCGTTCCCACGCCTGTAGCTATAGCTGTAGCTTCGGTCCAGTTGGCTGCCACCTGAGGGGAGGCAACCTGCAGTCAGGCCCCAGTCCCCTCCCACTAGAACTGGGCCCCTCTTCCGGCACACACCAGACAGGGACGGCACAGATGGACCTGCTCGGGAGCTATGGCCCCCCCAGCCCCTACCCCTGTCCAGAGACCTGGGGGGCTCTCCCGGCGGTGCTTCCAGTCAGCAGGCAAGGTGGCATGGCTGTCCTGCCTGTGTGCTCCACCTGGCCTCTCGGGTGCCTGGAGGCTGGCGAAGAGCGCACCTCCGGGAACCTGAGGGGCAGTGCCATAGAGAGCAGACTCAAGGACCGGCTTCCCCAGAGCCAGGTGTGCACCCCCCTGCAGTGCGGGGCCCCTCACTGACCTTGTTTGGGGGCGGGGGGTTGGGGGAGCACTGTGACAGGGTGTGGTAGCTGGGGTTGGAGTAGTAGTGACTGTAGCTGGGAGGGACATCTGCAGGACAGGCAGAGCGGAGCTCAGAGACCAGAAGACCAGTAACTCAGCCCCCTGACCGCCCTGCCTTCCTCCTCCCTAGCTTCCACCCTGCACCCCGTCTGCCCACACTTCCTTTGTGCTGCACGCCCTGGCGCCAGCTCACCTGGCATGACATACTCAGAGCCGTCCAGCCGCCCGCTGCTGTAAGCCACTGCCAAGTGCTGGTGCTCCTTGCCCTTTTGCCAGTGGCGGTAGCCAATGAAGAGTGCTAGGAGGGCCACAACAAGGGACCCCAGCACTGCAATGCCAATCACCGCACCCAGGGAGTTATAGGCCACTGGAGAGGTAGGCATCATGGTAAAGGGCTCCTGGCTTCCTGTGTGAGGTGGGGTGGATACTCAGGATGGCATCGGAACTCTGCTGGTGAGCTTGGGTACATGCCTAGGAGAAGTGCCCGGCAGGCAGCAGGGCCCTTGGTCCAACTTCCCTGGGGACAACTCACCAATCCTGCAGGGTGCACCACTGAACCCAGGGGGACACACACAGGCCCCGCTCTCTGGGTGGCACTTCTCGCCAGGGCCACACTGGCATGGCAGGGAGCAGTTGGCACCAAACATCCCCAGAGGGCAGCCTGAGAAGAGAGCCCAGGAGGTAAGCCGGGGTCACAGGGGTCAGGAAGCCACAGCTTCCTCCTGGCAGGGGCTGAGTTGAAACACAAAGTTCCCTGCTGTGGGTACCTTCCAAGCAATGCTGTCCAGTCCAACCTGGGGTACAGGCGCAGCTCCCGTCCTGGGGATGGCAGGTCCCACCATGGTGACACTGGCAGGACTGGGCACAGTTAGTCCCCCACTGGCCTGAGGGGCATGCTATAGGAGACAAGGGGCCTATTGTGGGTGGGTCCTCCTCTTCTGGACCAACTCTTGTCTCTTAAATTTTTGTTTTCTTCCTTTTGAGACGATCTCACTATGTAGCCCAGGCTGCCCTCAAGCTTGCAGCAATCCTCCTGCCTCAGCCTCCCAAGTACTAGGATTACAGGCGTGCACCACGGCTCCTGGCTCACTGAAGTCTTTCACTCGGCCTTAGTCTCCAAGAGACAGTGAGGCTTCAGATGGTATCTGTGCACCAGTGACTCACACTAAGTTTACATCAGCCTCATCTGTCTGCTGAATGCCTGGCCTATGTGTCTACCCACCAAATCCCCACTGCACTCAGCTGCCTAACAGCCACTAAAACTGACACACCCAGGCCTGACCACCACGAGTTCCTAAACTACTTGGGAATTGTTAGGTCTGGACTTGCATTCCTGTTTTTGTTTTTGTTTTTCAGACAAGGTCTTGCTATTAGTTCAGGCTGCCCTGGAACTCACTAAGTAGCCCAGGCTGGCCCTAAACTCACAGCAATCCTCCTGCCTCAGCCTTCCGAGTGCTAGGGTTACAGGTGTGTGCCACCATGCCTGGCTGTGTTTTGTTGTTATAACCTAAGAAAGAAGTAACACCAATCCCATTTAATGCATTATTTTTCTGTGGCAGACACCAGCAAGTAACCAGTGTTACTACTGAATTCTGTAGACAAATTCTTCCCCAGATAAGTTCCTTCTTCACTCTGCCTGCTGGGAAGTTTAATTCCAATCTTTTGCATGGCAATAGCCTCTGTGTCCTCTTTTCAAAACTTGCTTTAAATTCTGTTTTGTCTTTTCCATGATCATCATCATATATTTATGTAGGAAAGAGTCCATACATAAATACATATGTACATAGAAAATTGTACAACACAAACAGAACATGTCCAAAGTTGACACAGGATTTCGCTGCTTCCATACAACAGGGCTTATGTCAGAGGCAGGGAGCACTTTTCCCAATATCCACTGCCGCACCTCAGCACCTGGACCCAGTACCCAGCCTGGGGGTGCCGCCCAGCGGAAATCTGTTCACACCGTTTACATCAATAACTGAGCCAAGACCAGACCACAGACTTTCATGCCGGGGAGCAGGGAAGCCCAGGCCTCCTCTCCTCGCCCACCCCCAGCACGCACACTCGGACACAGGAGCCGTCACATACGCTGGGAGCAGTCTGGGCCTGTCCAGCCAGCCAGGCAGTAGCAGGTCCCGTCCACAGGGTGGCAGGAAGAGTGGTTATTGCACTTGCAGGGCATGCAGCGTTTGCCATAGCGGCCGGGCTGGCAAGCTGGGGAAAGGGGGACACGTGACTGGGGGTGGGGGCAGCCTGAGCAGCCCTCAGTGCCACTGCCCCCTCCATCCTTCCCTCTGTGCTGTCCTGAAGGTCAGAGTCAGGCCAAGAGCCCAGGAGGGGCCGGGCTGGGCTCTGGCATCTGACCCTGCGCGGAACCCTCCTGCCAGAGGGACGGGTGGGAGCAGGGAGCCTCACGTCTCTGGCAGGAGGGGCCTCGGAAGCCAGGTGCACACACACAGTTGCCATTCTCGGGGAGACAGGTGCCCCCGTTCTTGCAGGTGCAGGCGTTGCTGCAGTTGGCTCCCCAGAAGCCCTCAGGACAGGGCAGGTGGCAGCGGGTGCCTGTGAGAGAGAAACAGGGTGAACCTGGCGCTGGGCCCTCCTGGTCCACAGGGGCACTTCCTGTGGGCCACGTCCCCAATACCTCTCCAGGAGGCCCGTGACCTGAACGTCTAGAATGCTCACCTGTCCAGCCGGCCTGGCACTGGCAGTGTCCACGAACAGGGTCGCAGCCATCAGCGTGGTCACAGTCACAGTGGGTAGCACAACCTTTGCCAAACTGCCCCTTCTTGGCAAGAAGGCAAAGGATGCGAGAGGCCGGTCAGCTGCGGTGCTGTGCCCTCCCTCCCCCCAGGCACACAGGCTGTGGGCTCTTACCAGGCAGGGTAGCTGGCAGTGGGCCCCACGCCACCCAGGGGTGCAGGTGCAGGCTCCAGTTTGGGGGCTGCAGACGCCTTCATTGGCACACTGGCAACTGGCATTGCAACCGAAGCCCCAGGTTCCGGTTGGGCAGGGCACAGAGCAGTTACCACGCCGCCAACCTGGAAGGGGCCTGCAGGTGAGCAGCTGCCCTCCTGATCAAGCTCTGGCTGCGGCAGCCTCTTCGCTACGAGCCAGGGTGCTCACGGCACCACACAAGACACAAGCATGTGAGCCATTAGACGTCTGAGGAAGTGCTGGAGGAGGGATGTGGCAGACACAAAGCCGGGGTCCACGCTAGCACCACACACACAAACAGACAAAACCCCATCAGCTTACAGAGGCCTCGGCAAGTAACTGAGGGCGTGATCCAGATCGTGTGCAAGACAGTCGAGAGAGACACAATGTTTGTTAAATTCGGTAGAGACCCAGCCAAACAAAAGACAGATGTATGAGTACAGCCCAAAGGTCGCCAACGTGCCACACCCGCAGAGCGTGGGGGCCTTTCTGGCGCTGCCACCGTTTGGGGTATTTTGGATGTGTGGGGTTTTTTGCTTTACTTTGTTTCGCTTCTGTTCTTTTTCCTGGGAATTGAACTCCAGGCTTCCAGAGGAAGCCATTCTCACCGAGCTACATTTTCGGCCCTTTTTGGATGTTTCGTTTTGACACACGGTATCGCTAAACTACCCAGGCTGGGCTCGAATTTACAGTGTCCCTGCCTCAGCCTCTTGAGCAGCTGGGCTTACAGGTGCGTACATATGGCTTACTGTGTATCTGTGTAACTGAGGGTGAGAAATGTTTACCAGTTAGGTGCATTGCGGCCTGCGCCTTTAAGGACCAGTACGAGTTTTACGATTTTAGAAAAGCAAAGTAAATATTCCAGGAAGGAAATAGCCTGGATACTTTCCCACAGCCCAGCTGCTGCCCGGTCAACTCCGCCCTCATCCTGCAGCCTCTGCCCTCCCTGGCCCCGCCCCCGCGGT